CCCCAAAACCCCAAAACCCCAAAACCCCAAAACCCCATGGAATGAATAATAATTAAAAACGCGAGTGATTTATTTTAATTAATACGACAGTAATACTTTAAGCTTTGTTTATGTACTAATTTTATCAACTAAACTTTCTTTCTTAACTTTATCCTTTGACTCCTCTAGAAGTCCCACCGATATTCTTGTTTTCCTCAGATTAAGAGCTGCTGTCTTCATCTCCTTCAACTACAACTTAGGCAGTTGAACCAGTACGATGATGACTTTATCTAGGGGAAATGCTTCTGAAGTTTTAATTCCTCTAATTTTGAAACTGCAAAGTCGAGTAGTTCATATTCTTGGTTTCCTTCTAGGCCAAAACCTCGAAGTCATTGCCTAATTCCTCTTGCTTGTGACTCTCACTCTATCGTCTATAGTTTCTATTTTTAGTAGTCCAGGATTTTCTAATGTTTTTTAGGCCTTTTATCTCTGGTGAGTGCGCAAATTAATCACTCAATTATTCATCTGTATCCTACCTTTTCTCATCGTCTTGTTGGAACATAGAACTTCTAACAATTTAAGATTGATCAAGGGAGTTCAAACCAGCATGAAACTGTGATGAGTTATAGTTTGATTTATTGTAAAAGTTTTGGGACTCTGAGGTGTAGTACTCTTTTGAAATCTCGTAAATGGGGGCGGCTTTATACTTCTTTTCCACGGGCATTCTGACATTACCCTTTTTCCAGAGTTATCTAAATTAACCTGAGTTAAGGCCTTGCTCCCTGTTTGGATTATTTGGGTCATTTGCTTGCTGCTCCTTTTGCTCATTAGATCCCTCCATTAGAGAAGATGAGTAATTTCCCTTTGAATCTTGCCTTGTCTGCGATCCTTATCTTGATCTAGGAAGTTTCTTACAGCAACTTAAGAAATAGTAAATCAAGCAAGACCCTCCAATAATTAGTATGATTATCACTATCAAGGCAAATACAAGCTTCTTTGTAAAAAAGCCTAACTCCTCAGTGCATTCATTCTGAAAACAGTAATTAGTAATGCATTCTTCACTGCTTTAACAATAATCACCCTTAATCTTATTCGCATCGCAAACTACTGCATCAGTGCATTGTCTCTAACTGCAGCATCTGGAGGTGGTAGCGCAGTCATTATTCGTGGTGCAACTTTAAAAGCACTTTTGAAAATGACCGCATCTCTTCTTATCGCAACATCGACTCATGCACTCGAAGTTATAGTCGCAAATGTCATCTTGCAATTTAGACCCCAGCAGGCAAATGTTTGGATGTACACAGGAGTAGGTTGAGCAGCAAAATGTCGTGTCAATGCAGTCGTCATTTGTTAGGCAATTAATTGGAGCACTTGTGGGTGTGAAATCTGCCGAGGAAAGCTAAGCCAAATAGGTGGTAAAAGGGTTACCTTGAACTGGAGTTTAGAGCAATTATAATGTGAAAATTGAGATCAAAGTTATCAACATAAAGTTTATCACAACCATTGCAATATTAATGTAACAATTTGCTTTGAATTTTATAATCAGCCTTACTTCTAAATGCCAAATGAATCTGTCGGGGTTTTGGGGTTTTGGGGTTTTGGGGTTTTGGGGTTTTGGGGTTTTG